TCAGGTTTGCCCATCTTTCCCTTGCTGCGACCCTCTGTGCGAACTGCAAATCCCATAACCTCAGATTTATCCTCTCGATTTTGACCCATTCCACGCACCCTTTCCTCCTGACATACCTGTTGGTATGCGCGATTAAGGGATGGGAGGGGTGATTGAGCCAGTAGTTGCGATCGAATTTGTCCAAAGAAATCCGAGTACAACCCCATCAGAAATTGATGGAATCTCTCAGATTCCCTTCGTTCTTCAAGCTTTTCATTTAATTTGCAGGTGCACTTCCCACAGGTACAGGCAAGCAAAGGTTCGAAGTTGTTCAGATCGTCCCAAAGTGTCTTCAATTTGCCGTAATAGGTTCCAACTGCCATCCCCTTCATCTGTTCGCAGCGGGCCAGGTCTGTTTTGACCTGGTGTATGCGTGACCCATCGATCAGCGAGAACCGTTCTTTGAGGTCAGTCCATAACTGGTATGCATTCTCGTAATTAGATAAGGTATTTTTCAGGTCGGGAGAGATGACATTCAAAAGCCATGAAACAACCATTGAATGAATAGTTAACCAATCATCCTCTGTACAGGGAGGTTTCGGTTCAAGAATACTCCCGTCTACAAAGACGTATTTCCGCCTTGCCCGGAGTGCCAATCGAACGGAACTTGACCACTGATCGTAATTTTCTCCGTTTAATCGTACGGGAGTTATGAAATCTCCCGGCCGATCCTGTGGCCCCAGAAAGTATGGGGAAGTATGATCGATTTTTGGTGTGGAGTTGACTTCATCGCTGTCTCCTGCCATGGCGGAGTTCGTCCACCAGCCTTCCGTCAATCCTTTGGAGGCTCTGATACCATGAAATAAGAGCTAATCGTGTGTATATTGAAGAGTAAATTCAAACTGTATTATTCATCTTATGATCAACCAAGTGACATCCGTATATATGTACTACAGGGACGGACAAAACAAAAGGAAAGGCAATAATTGTTTGCCTAAAATAAGTGATTACAATATATATATTATTAATGTAATATCTCATAATATAGCCTTCCATAATAACATGGTTTTGCAAAACATGTCCAAACATTAAACGCATGGTTTCAAGTTTATATTATAATAATATTATATACTTCCTATTTACTTATTTATAATTTATTTAATCATGTAGTCATGATAAATGGGGCCCATGCCCCATAGTTGTACATTATTTGAGGCCTTGTCTCTAACGGTGATATTCTTACAATAGGAATTAGAAATAAGCATGCGGCCAAAATGGAAAACGAAGTGACGAACAGGAACAAAAGGAGGTAATGCGGGCACAATCGGAATTCGCTATAAATATTCCAGCGGCCAAGTACAAAACGTCATGTTCATTGGCTTTTTAAATTTTAGTTGTTTGATGCAAAAAGCCAAGTAAAAAAGCCAATTAACCAAACATCTGAACTAGCGGTTTATTTGGTCAAAAAGCTAAAAAATGGTCAACTCAGCCAAAAATTGGCTGGTAGCCTCCTAACCAAACACCCCCATAGATCAAAGAAAACTGAAAGAAGAATATGAAAGTAGTAGATGAACTTCATTATTAATGCAAAAGATCTAAAGATTTCAAAATACTCCCTCCGTCTCATTGTATATGTCTTCCTTTCCTTTTTGGATTGTACCAAAATAAGTGTCACATTTTTCTTTCTGGAAAGAAATATGTGGTTCACAACATTCCACTTTAATATACTCAAATCTCAACCACAATTTTTACCTTTTCAACCACTTTATTAAAAATTATGCCAAAACCAAAGGAGACACATAAAATGAGACAAAAGTAGTACTAATCAACATTACAATATCATACTACTCCTGTCCTCCTATGTTTGGGACAAAGGGGTGTGATGTGGTTTTTAAGAAAAAGTAGAATTGTGTAGTTGATATTGAATCGATAAAGTGTGAATAAAGTAAGAATGAATTCTAACCACTCAAATATTACCAAATATGGTATGAGACAAACTTAATGAGACAAACGAAAAAGGTAAAACGGGACAAAATTAGGGGGGACGGATGGGGTAACGATTAAAGAATAATAACGGCATAGACAACAAAACGCAAATGCTTTTTCCTCAACAAAGTTTACCTTCTTTACGTGGGCTAGAGATGTTTTCTTTTGGACTGTTTTCAGAGCAGACCAAATCAGACCAGACCAGACTTGATTTCCGTAGTTATAAAATATACAGATACCAGACGTTTACCAGACCAGACCAACAAATTCCAGTCCAAAAGAAAACATCATAATTACAATACCTTCATTTATTTGTGAGTACCCTCACCTTTTTTCACAGCCACAACTAAACCAAACCAAATTCCATAATACTATCCAGGGACGGATCCAGAATTTCGAGTCAAGGGGGCAAAATTTTTCATTAGTGTAGGGGGCAAAAAAAATTCGCTAGTGTAGCGGGGAGATTTTTTTTCGCTAATGTAGCGGGACAAATTTTTTTCGCTAGTATAGCGAGACGAATTTTTTTCACTATTGTAGGGCTGCGCGGCTGATTTTTTTTTTAAAAAAAATCATTAGTACATACACGATAACATTTAATTCTATTACATTTTAAGTTTAGAGAATGAAAAAATAACTTTAATTTTGTAACTGTGAATGCTCTAGAAAAAAGTACTGATACATTAAAGCATAAGAAATTGTGAATCAAAGGGAATTTATTTGAAAATAGAAAAGGATATATAACATTTTGTCGAATTATTTGAAGGTAAAAAATTTGAAAGGTAATAAAACATCAATCGATGCCTTTTAAATAACTTATGTCTTGTTTAACCACATGAATCTTATCGGAATAAAATTTGAAAGGTAATTCAAAAACCATTAATGGTTTTTGAATTGTAGTTTTTGTCTACCAAGGAGGGTGTTCATGGGTCACGAGAAGTTTTTTTATATTACAATAGTATGTATGAGATTATTTTCTTTGAAATAATATTATATATAGTATTGTTAATTCATATATATGGTACATATTATATTTGTATTAGTGCTAAAATACGTTAACGTTTATTATTTATGCAATAAATTGCTTTTAAAAAGTAAGAAGTAAATGAATTGTATAATTTAATGTAAACAAACATTTATATTTTGGATTTACTTCACATGATTTAAAACCGTTTAACTGGTGTGTCTGATATTTAATATCATTTGTTCTTTTGCGAAATTTAAAACTAATTATCTATAAAGATAATCAAATATTACAAAACCTAGGAATTTTTATATAATAGGTAACCTAAGTCTTAAACTATCTAATTTATTTTAGATCTTACTTCTTTTAAATTTCCAATTAAATATTACATTATATAAGAATACATATTAACTTTGAAAACTAAAACAATATGGGGTTATGTCTAAAATAATACTAAAAAAAGAGCTATGAACAAAAAAGAGACCTTTATTTCAATTTTCCAAAAATGAGACTAACAATAGGTTAAGAGACTATTATACCCTTATTTTAATAGAATCTCACCCATTAGTCTACAATAACGCCACAGTGACCAAAACCATTATCGTGACCAAAAATCATTTGTGACCGAAAATCCAAAAATCCGTCAGTGACCAAAATCATTAGTGACAAAAAATTCTACCTAGTTACCAACGTCAACCCGTCCAGTGACCAATCTGACTAGTGACCATGACCAATCCATCTAGTGACTAAAAATCATTTGTGACCAAAATTCCAAAAATCCGTCAGTGACCAAAATCATTAGTGACCAAAAATCCAAAATTCACCAGTGACAAAAAATCGTCAGTTATCACTGTCCCAGTTACCACCGCTAAGCAATTACAATTACATTCGCCGAACACCCGTCAGTGACCTAACTTTCAACACTAGTAGCCACCGGGCACCACCACTACCGACCGTCGCCGCTACCCCCCGCTGTTGACCAACAGTGACCAACTACCATGCCCGCTGACCCGCCATCCAGTTACCAACTGTGACCGATTACAAGTGCCCACCTCCAACCGAAAATGACCAACACTACTCCTGCGCCACCGCCCTAGCTCTGACCACCGCCCCAACAATTACCACCCGCCTTTCCTCCACCATCATCCACAGCACACAGCCCACCCCCCGCCCCTACTCTAACCACCCCCACCATTCCAGCACGGCCCCAACCCCCGACCTAGCCCTAGCCCCCTTCCCAGCCTCCCCAGCACCTACCACCAGCCTCCACCACGATCCCAACAACCCCACCACCGCACAAGAATGCTATAACCATAACCACCGTACAAAAATGCTATAACGGTAACCACCGTACAAGAATGCTAGCTATAACCGTAACCACCGCACCACAACCACCATAAATCATCTCCACCGCCGCCACTACACCACCTTAGTTGCGACCAGATCTACAGGCCAGTACACATCATCTAAGTTGTCGCTGGATCTGCCAAAACTCATTGCTTATCTTCATCCTCATCGCTCTGCTGGAGATAAAGGAGAAACGACATGTCATCTCCAACTCGAATACAATTGGTTCGTAGAGAAATAGGAGAAGAAGATGGGGCGGAGATGGAGTGAGGGGCGAGAACACACAAGCGGTGATAGAGAATGAAAAAGGAGCGGCGGAGATGGAGAGGCGATGGCAGAGGCGGCGGCGATGGATGAGGTGACTGAGTTGGCGGCGATGGAGACATGACGACAGAGAGAACGGAGATAGATGCGGCGATGGAGCCGGTGCTGGTGATGGACTCGACAACGGGAACGACACCCATGGATGGCGGATGCGGTTGCACCTCTGAAGATGACGAACAGGTTGAACGACAAGCACAATTCGGATTTAGGGATTTAGTTCTATTATATCACAAGGTTATTTTTGTCCATTGATTTATAGTCGATCCCATTTTTGTCCAGATTCAAAATCACTCCTACTTTTGGGTTTTAGAAGCGTAGGAGTCTTATACCGGTCATTCTTTCAAACAATATCTAATTAAAGTATGAAAATTTTATGAAGAACTCCCCTCGTATGCTTCCCTCATACTATCCCTATTCCTTACCTCCCCAAATCGAACTGCACACCACTTTCCCTCGTATTCTTCCGGATATCTCTCTTCCCGCTTTTTCTATTATTTTTACCACCTCTTCAGATCTCATCTCGCGCCATCTTCCCATACGCTGTTCCATCCCACCGTCTCTGCTCTCCCCAAATTCAGTTCTTTTAGTGAACCCTTTTCACTTTCCAGAAACCGAATCAACAAAAAATCAAGAATCGGCAAAAGTTTTGTGCTTCAGGAAAAAGGAACTGCATATAGCGGATCATGCAGCAGGAACAGCCTTTACAGCGGCAGCAGCTGCAATTCGCGGAGGTAAAACCGGCGTTTGAGGACTACCACCGGTTCCTAGCTGACCCGCGACTAAAACCTCCCCAGGTTCCTGAAGGCATCGTCGTAAGGACTCCGGTGAGATTTTCTTTGGCACTTCTCAAAAACGATTTGTATCTTTTTTCTTTAGTATTGTGATCTTTCTTTGACTGCATTAACTTCTTGGTTTAATTGGATTTTAGTGGACTCTTCAGCATACGTATTGAGCTCAGAAGTATGGCTGAGATTAGGTTTATTATGGTTCTTGATCAAGAATGTCTGCCAAATGTGTGATCTTTCCACGGTTTCACCCTCAAAATACTGATTTGGACTGACTTTAAGTGATGCTATTATTCTAAAGTTTTAAACTTTAAGTGGATGTGTGTTCTCTCTTTGTTCATCTGAGGGCCATCAGCTCTTGTTGACCACAAAGTTTAGACCTTTTCTGTTTATTTATATCATAATTACTGTTTAATTCAGTCAGTTTTTGTTTAATCTCAATGGCGGTTTGAGCCCTCAGGTACTTTGATTCACATAACCTGTTTATAACACTGATCAGCAAGCTATGTACTCCCTCAGTCCCTCTAATTCAATTAGTTGTTCAGCTAGGCTTTTTCATGGTTTCTAAGTTTAGAATCTTGTGTTAGAGTATTAGAGCTATTGCAATTTTAGATGACATTCTACTTCTTCCTGCAAAGTTTCTTTCATTAACATTGTGACATCATTGATTCAGTTAATGGGTAAATATTGTAATATTGGTTTTACTTTCCTGACCCTATTGTCTCTCTTCATTTGACCAGCCATTGAAGAGAAAGAATGAGAGAGGCAAGTATACTCAGGTTTTCAGTCAGCCAAACCAAGCTTCTGGATTTCCTGATGCCTACAGTCCCTTGCAAACACCTGTTTCAGGAAAGGCTGGAAAGGTTCAGAAAATATCAAAGACATCAAAAGCCAACAGATCTCTGTCTATAACTGCTGGGAGCATTGGTTAGCTCTTGTCTGGAAAATAAAATTTCTGCATTTTGGGCATTTTATTATTATACACTCTCTCCGTCCCAGGCCCCAGCTTAAGCTTCTCATTTGCCTCTTTTGAATGCTCAATTAAAGCTTCTCATTTCTATTTTAGGAAACAATTAGCACTCTTAAATGACAATATAATCATCAAATATTAAAAATAATACACCTATAACATCAAAGTTATCACCAATGACATTATACTATATACCCATCAAAGTTGCTTCTCAAAGTATACTCGAATAACCTTGTATAATTACTGTCTAAATAACCGTGTCATTTTCCAATGCGAAGCTTAAGCCATGGCGGTGGTAGTAACTAGTTTAGGGTAACACTCCACAGGAGAAGTAACTTTAGTTATTATGCATCCACAGGATCCCCTTTCAGTAACAATACAACTCCAGTTGCTCCTTGTCGGTATGATAGCTCCCTAGGTAATCAAGGGCTTGCTGCACATAACTAATTGATATTAAATTCTAGTGTCATATTCAATATCAGGTTGAAGTACTAATGACTGAAGTAAATAATGACAATGTTCACTCACAATCAGGCGTCTTAACGAAGAGGTTTATTCATCTGATTAAGCATTCTCAAGATGGCATTCTTGATCTGAATAATGCTGCTGATACACTAGAGGTCTGCAAAACTTTAGTTAATTTTATGTTATGTCTAGCTAATGAATTCTACAAGCTAAAAACTAATAAGTTATTATTGATTCAGGTGCAAAAAAGGCGTATCTACGATATAACAAATGTTCTGGAAGGCATTGGCCTAATAGAAAAGAAGTTAAAGAACATGATCCAATGGAAGTAAGAGAATGCGTCTCCCACCAACCATAAAATGGCTAATGCTATATTTGTTTGCTTTCATAATTTTCTGGGAAATAAAAAGTGGCCTAATAAGTTGTATTTGTTACACAGGGGTTTGGATGTCTCAAGAACAGAAGATGATGAAAGTGGTTGGAATGTAAAGGTAAGAGGAAAGTCTTCACCATCATGCCTCATTTTGTTTTGTGGGATCATCCAGTCCCTGACCTTGCATTAGCCTCAAACTTTTACGGGCAGTCTTTGTAGTAATAGATTACGGGCTCTTAGGTTTTCTGCTTGGCAGCTAGATTTTCTACCAGATTTTATAGTTATGGCTATAATAAGTGAATACAGTGGAAAAAGCAGTGCATGAGTTACTTTTTGGCTGAGATGAAAATAATTAACACTTTACCTTTCTTTTATATACTTTATTACTATCTTTAGTTTACTTATAAATCAATGTTACTTTCTAGGTAGGGTCATAAAGAGGATTGATAGCATTCTAAAATATGTTGGCAAAGCCTACTTTTAGAATAGGCTTCCCTTGATCCAAAAATGTCATACAATTTTTTTTCCAAATGTAATCATCACTGTTTGTTTCGGAGAAATTGATAAGGTTTCATTTTGGATTGTTCTCTGGAAGTTCAAGATTACTTCACTTTTACCCTGTGGTCCATGCCCCCTCCCTTTTGCAGGCTGAAGTGGATAACTTGGCCTTGGATGAGCGTAGAATAGATGAACAGATCAGGTTCTTTTATAAACACTTTAGCATCACACACACATGCACAAAACATTACCTTGATTTGACCATTAATGTGCTGATTCTAAGCGATATCAACTTTAGAGAAATGCAACAAAGAATTGGAGATCTGATGGAAGATGAAAAAAATCAAAGGTGCCTTGTCATTGGCGTGTTCATTAACTCTTTAGTTGACCATTCTGATGGACTTGTTTTATGATCCATCTAATTTTCTTCTATCAGGTTGCTTTTTATCAGAGAAGAAGATATTAAGAGCATACCTAGTTTTCAGGTACACGTAGTTGTAATTATTCTACTTTAGTTGTCTTAGTATTGGTCCTTATTGCTTGATTGACTATGCTAAAGTGGAATCAAATACTCTTTTCAGCATGAAACACTCATAGCAGTTAAAGCTCCACATGGAACCACAGTAGAAGTTCCAGATCCCAATGAGGTGTCCCAACTACCAGAAATTTAGTCTTTTTTTTCTCTCTTCGGAAATTTATCATTCTAGGACCCGAAAGATAGGTTAACTATCAATCAGACCTAAAATATCATACATTTTCATTTTTTTCATTTTTATTTACTTTTTTGCTATGTTTTGATATTTTTTTCTTCACAAAAGTTTATTAGTTTAATAAAGTTAAGAAAGATTCAAAATATTTGAAATTTTATAAAAATAAAATTTGTGGTATTTTAGTTCTTAGATTGATGATTTTCAATCATTTGAGCCCTGTACAGACCATTTTCATCTTTCAGGTCCTAAATTGATAGTTAATGTATCTTTCAGATTCTAGATTGATGAAATTCCTTTCTTTTTAATTCCCAGTTATTTTATAAGTTCATCCAAACAATTATACTTTCACAAGTTCTTGTCTTTTGAAAGGGAATCTTGGCACACCGGTTACAGTGATAATGTGTGACCGGGAGGTCATGATTTTGATTTTTTGGAGCGGCCTCATGTCAAAATGATACTAGAAGACTTGCCCTCTACACGCCCTGGTGGTGGGACCCTTTCTCGGGACGCCAATATGCACCTGGCTGCCCTTTAAGTTCTTGTCTTTTATTTTGTTTTGTATTTATTTGGCAGGCTGTTGATCATCCTCAAAGGAGGTACAGAGCAGTTCTACGCAGCACCATGGGACCCATAGATGTTTACCTTATTAGGTAATTCTATTTCCATGAAGAAAGAACACTTTACATCATGAAATATGGGATCTCGCCTCCAAGTATATGAATGAAGTGATTAAATAAGTGATACCTTATGTGCTTTTCTTCCTGAACTTCAATATTCAGTAAATTTGATGAAAAGTTTGAGGTGATTCATGAAGTTGTAGCACCACCACCTAGCCACCCTTCAACACCACCCAGCACAAGTGAGAGTGGAGCTTTAGAAACTAAGAAGAGAAGAGGAAATGAGGCAGGTGGGCTCAAAACAGTAGAAAGAATGTTCTCAGATGTTGATGCAACCTTGCCAGAGGACTCTGGAAGTGGAATTGTCAAAATTGTTCCTCATGTTGACGTAAGTTTTCCCCATATTTATCTCCTATATTATAGTTTATGAAGAAATTGAACGGTGTTGAATTTTCAGTTAGATGGTGATCTTGTGTAACTTAATCGGAGATTTTATCTGAAATATTACTAAAAAATCATTGACTAGAATGACCAAATATCACATAAAAATACACAATGGTCACTGCTAGTGGTGGGCAATATGGTTTACGTTTGGTTTTTATTGGTTTCCGTTTGGCTTATTCGGTTTGGGAGATATTGTACCAAATTCAAACCATTTGTGTTTGGTTTGGTTTCGATTTAGGAGTGGTTCGGTTCGGTTTCGTTTGAAATACAGATTACCAAAATGAAAATGATTTGGTTCAATTTAGTTCGGTTTGATTCGTTTCCACATGTTTATTGGTTTATTTGATCTATACATCCAAGTTCTATTTATTGAAATAGAAAATGAAAATACTGAACTAAAATAGTAGTCCACCGCACCTTGTTGTGTTCATTATTTAAATAAAATGTGAAGAGAAATAAAAATTAGAAAAATAATAATAATATTTTATAAATTAACATCTAATTTCTTTTACTTGGATGGATGCCATGAAAATGTTTAACATTTTCTCAACCACTAGAAAAAGATTCACCACTAACAAAAGTTAAGTTTATAGTTAATTACTCCCTCCATCCCCAATTAAATGTCCCATTTTACCATATTGGGATGTCCCTATTTAAATGTCCCATTTTACCATATTGGGATGTCCCTATTTAAATGTCCCATACCTCATTTGGTAAAGTTTGTGTGGCTCAAAATCATTCTTACTTTATTCTTACTTTATTCCTACTTTATCAATTAATATCAACCACACAAACCCACTTTTCTTAAAACTCGTGCCACCCTCTTCCGGGACTTTTAAAAGGGGACGGAGGGAGTAACATTTATAATATTACATAAAATATTCAAAGAAAACTAAATGAGTTGGTGGTAAAAAAAATGTTGCAAAATTCATATTTGTATTCAAATGAATCATGTAAAATGTGCATTGTCCTCTAGTTTAACTGAAATTGATATAAATGCAATATGCTATTTAAAAAGTATAAAGTATAACAAATAAAAGTATAATGTTATACTCTTTAAAAAAAAGGTATAATGTTATACTCTTTCAAAAAATGGTATAATGTTATACCATGTACTACATCCGTTCTTAAATAAATGCAACGTGTAGAATTTTACACTATTCACATGTTCTACTTTGACTACGTTTTATTGTATTAATAATTTATTTCAAAAAATATATTGTTAAATTTGTTTGATCCTAAATTTTCAAAATCTGATTTTTTTTAATTTTTTTAATAAATGAGAATTAATTATACTAATGATCAAAGTTATGAAAGTTAACTGTTGCATTTAATTTAAGAACGGAGGTAGTATTAGCTAACTTTGTCATAATAAATGTATGAAATGTATAAAATTTGAAATATATATTCTTAACAATGTAGGTTTCTTATCTAAGTTATTTATTTGTATCCTACGGATGAAGAGTGAACACATACAAAGTATTGGAATAAATATTAAAATTACTCGTATTCAGTTCGGTTTACGGTTTTTTCGGTTTAAAACCAAACCAAACCATTTGGTTTGGGCAAATTGTTACTACAATTTACTTCAATGAACCCAAACCAAATCAAAGTATCAATTTTCAGTTTATTTCAATTGAACCAAACCGTTTTGCCCAACCCTAGTCGCTCCATAGTAACATGGAATATCAAATATCACGATGGTCACTATACTTGAAGTAAGAATGTTATCATGGTTACTCCAGTAGTCCATTGCGAACGTCCCATTTTGATATTAGTCATATGCATGTATCGACTCTGTCTTTCCTTAACGGAAGTACTGGCTTTATTAGTCATAATAATTGAAGCACAGCCTATTGCATTACAGTACATTTGAATGCTAGATATATCAACCTTCCAGCTCTAATATTTCATGCTAAGTATTTATTTTGGTTTCCAGTTTCTAATAGGTTGTCTTGTTCTTGCCTTTCCAGAATGAAACAGATTACTGGTTATTGTCGGATGCTGATGTTAATATCACTGATATCTGGGGAGCAGACTGTATCCTTTTTACTATTTTTTATAATTCAATCTTGTATTTACTTAATGCCCATTTGGTAAGGCTTATTTGGCTAAAATGGCTGAATCTACACTGAAGTCTGAAGATATGCAATATCATATTATTATTTTGAATTGTCATTAGAATGATGGAATTTCCCTGACTCTCACATAGCTGGGGTTGACTGGAGTGAGCTGATAACAACTCCCGAGGATTACGCCACAAACAATGACAGTACTGCCCCAAGCCGAACTTCATCTCCCACTTTTCTCAAAACCGCATCTTGCAACTAATACTACGGGGAGATAAATATTATCTGTTAGTGCCCCATGTTTTGGTTTTGTACAGTGTATATATGTCTACTACCTTGTAAGTTGCAACATGAGCAGTTTCTCTCGTGCCTTTAAGCACAAGTTGGTGATGAGCAGCACATTGTTAGACATAAACAGTTGGATTATGCTTCTACCAATTATATGCTTCTAGTAAATTTAGTTGTTTTGAATTGATTGAGAATGAATAGGCGTAGTCTATTCATGATAAGTTATTAGTAATCATTGATGTTAGGGTGAATAATTTACTAGACTTATAGCAAGGCAGCACAGGCCTAGTGAACACACCATTCACAAATATCTGCCCCATTGAAGACTTGAAGTGTTGAACGCTTCTTTATTGCATCCAAGTGTTTTTTCTGTCGTAGTTTATATTTTCCCTGCCATTTGGTTATGGTAGAGACACAGCGGGATACAAGTTTGGCCCTAATGATACTTTTCATACAGACTATGAGTACCAGGAAAGGGATCCAGATCAATCAGTTCTACTTGAAGGTGTTATTATATTGTTTCCGTATTATATGTTTCCGTAATGAATTGAATTCCTAGTATATAAACGCTGTTATTCTTTATCTTGTTAGACATTTTGAACATACTTTCATAACCGTGAAAAGAAGAGTGAATAATGGCTCTAGTCTGTAACAAGTGTGAAACCAAGAGTGAATAATGGCTTCAGTATTTAGCAAGTGTGAATCCAAATGGATTTATTTTTTGTCCCATAACTCCATATGGAGATCACAATATGATGTGGTTGTAAAACTTTTATTAAATTGAGATCTACTAGTGATTGAGCACCATTTAGAGTTTTAGTACTGACCAGTCCATAATTGGCTTGTTGTTTACTTTGGGGGGGGGGGGGGGGCATATCAATTCACAATTGCCAAAAGCTCCTTAGCTTCCTTTTGTTTTGACTTGCTTCCTTGGTTAATTTCATTTTTTGAACTTAATATCTTAGGGTTTTTGAAAATCTAAGTCTAGAATACCCTTAAATTCATCATCACATTGGAAATTCTATGTCTTAGCCTTTAAATCGGGTTAATTGGCAATCCATAGGCTTAAACTCCATAAAGTAAAAGAACACATACACAAATTAAGACATTGTCAAGCACGAAATCCATTAGGAAATCAATGCTAAAAAATTATCTAAAAATAAGTGTTGCGTGAAAATGAAAAAGATGAATTTGAGTGAAAGCATCGATATTTGATGGTGTACTATGTCTACTACCTGGTAAGGAGCAACATGAGCAGTTTTGCTCATGCCTTAGAAACACAAATTGGTGATGTGTAGCACGTTGTTAACAAACATACATAGTTGGATTATGCTTCTCTCAATTATAGGCTTTTAGCACAATTGAGCTGTTTTGACTTTACTCAGAATGAATAGTGTGTGATAGGAACCCGAGCAGAATAATACTATTAGTAACAATATTAAAGAATAGTATAAAGGTCTAATAGAAGGAGTAAGATAAATGTAAATAAATAGCTAGGGTGGCAACCTCATGTTAAGATATTCAGAAATTCATTGGGATTAGGCTTGGGGGGGGAGAGATACTCAAAATCGTCTCCATTTCCTTTGTACATTATTTTCCTTATTCCGCTATTGTAATAACTTAAGAAATTCTGAGATTTTCTACACAATGCACTTACTGAAACTACTATAAGGATCCAGACTCTAACACTGGTATCAGAGCACTTGATCTTGGAGGAACAATAGTCTAAAAAGCCATTGCACGACCATCGTCAGAGCACAGATGGAAAATTTGTTTGGGGAATTTGGATTGGATGATTGATGAGACATGATCGAACGAGAATGAATGGATAAAGGAGAAATTAGGAACAAACAATAGACTTGGATATAGGGACTCAAATGGAAAACTAATATTGATGGATGGTCAGATTTCCTGTGTATGTTCCGTCTTCTTATCAGGACTAATTCAGCTTCATGGGTCACAATAGCCACCTGATCAGACTAGTCAGTCAAAGTGGTTTTGCACAAGTAAAGGACTCTTGAGAGTTGGACCCAATTTAATTATGGTTGCAGATGTTATCGTAATAAATTCTGGAGGCTTTATGGTGGGTCTCCCAATTTGGAATCCATCTACAATATTTTTATGGGATGCTGAAATAGGGCATGGAAATTAATTTCAAAGAAATTTAGAAGGAAAGTTTGGGCAATGGAGTTCCGCCACCACTTAATCCTCCTTTGTTTGAGGCTTGATGTATGGCCGAGGGCTTGATGTATGGCCGAAGGCTTGATGTATGGCCGAGGGCTTCATGTATGGCCGAAGGCTTTATGTATATGGCCTGGGAACCCCCGGCCCACAGACTCCTACTAATCTATCACAAGCCCAACAAACCCAAGGAGCTCAGGAGGCCCAAGATTCGGCGGCCCAAGCGTCAAGAAGCCCACAATACACACAGGGATGCCTTCGGCCTCCTTGGCCGAAGGCTCCAAAACTCACAGAACCGCCATATTCGACCATGCGAAGCGACTGGGAGAAAATGACAGAAAACAGGAGCCTTCGGCACTATGGAGCCCTCGGCACCAGGGGAAGCCCTCGGCTGAACCAAGCCTTCAGCTACACTGGAAGCCTTCGGCCATACATGAAGCCTTCGGCCACACATGGAACCTTCGGCCACATAGGGAGCCTTCGGCCATACATGAAGCCTTCGGCCACACAGGGAGCCTTCGGCCATACATGGAGCCTTCGGCCACATATGGAGCCTTCGGCCACACATGGAGCCTTCGGCCATACATAAAGCCTTCGGCCATACATGAAGCCCTCGGCCATACATCAAACCTTCGGCCATACATCAAGCCCTCGGCCATACATCAAGCCTTCGGCCATACATGAAGCCCTCGGCCATACATCAAGCCTTCGGCCATACATGAAGCCTTCGGCCATACATGAAGCCTTCGGCCATACATGAAGCCTTCGGCCATACATGAAGCCTTCGGTCATACATGAAGCCCTCGGCCATACATGAAGCCCTCGGCCATACATGAAGCCTTCGGCCACACAGTGCCTTCGTCCACACAAAGCCCTCGGCTACGCGAGGAGCCTTCGGCTAAACGGACTCAATCATCGAAGATTCCCTTTGGAGACAGCCAACCACCGCATTTAATGCGACGTCACATCCACTCACCGCATTTAATGTGGGGAACGTGCGATGGTCGGTGCCACCCCGATTGATGTGACCCCTCGGCCGTTGGATTACTGACACGCGTACTCTCATCACATTTATTGCTGCTATAAATAGCAGCCCTTATTCTCCTTGTAAACCACGCTGAGTTCATTTTAATAAAATCGACTCTCTCTCCTCCTATTTACTCTGACTTCTCTCTAGTTATTCCCGCAATAACCCCTCGGATAAGATACCCCCCGGGTAGATTGTCCATCAAGAAGTTATCTTGCATATTAGTGACTTTTATATATGTTTATGTTGATCTTCGTTTACTATACCTTTCATTTCATATCTAGTGTATATCACGTGAATACCTCATATTAGATCGTATATTAAGAACCATCAATAATTAGATATGTATCAGATATTTCTCACTATGCTAATGATACTTTTTATTATGAAACTAGGAAAATAGGGTCTAGCTCATATGAGGATTTGCATTTATTATATTTTATTTTTGGGTCATCTTTCGTATGAAGGAACATTAAATACTCTAATTTTAAGTTGATACAAATGTTAACATGTCAAATATAAAAAAAAATTATATCAAATTAACATACAATATACATATTTCTCAATAAAAACACATTGGGCATTTTATTCAATCGCGCAACGCTCGTGTTAAAAACTAGTTCATACATAAATATACATCTGTTTACAAGTAGCTTTTCTTGGTCTGCTAACATCATTTTAGGGGCCTGAACTTGTTCATCCCATTTAGCCCTAGGCTTATAGCTAGGCGGCCCAGGCCTAGTGAGAACACCATTCGCAATTCTCTTTATTGCTTCCTAGTGTTATTTCTTTCATGGTTTATAATTTTCTCTGTCACTCGGTTGTGTTAGACTGTAGACAGGGGCGGAGCCAAGGGGGTCATGGTGGTCAGCCGACCCCGCTGAAAGTTCAAGAACATAGAGCTCTAAATACCTTCGATTTGATATATATTATGGGTCCCGTAGCTCATTACGAGTAAAAAGTTATGACTTCTGGAAAAATCAGCATCATCTTAATTTGAAATAAACAAAATTTGATATGTGACGTTGATTATATTCTTAAATTTAAAAATAAAACACCTTATCCAGTCATTAGTTGTGTGAACATTATGATACATTACATATATATCAATACATTAATCGAAAAATGGTCATTAAACTATCATTTATCTCAGCTACATATGAAACATTTAACTCAATTATTGTATAATAACTATCCATTATTTTGATACAATATACTTCATATAATTTTATAAACTAGTATAGTACCCGTGCGATGCACGGGAAGAATAATTTTCCATATGAAGGAATAATTTGTTAAAACATCACATTTGTCTTAATTTAATCATATAATTTGTAAATAGATGGTAAAAATACCTAATTGACAAAATCCCAATATGTATCATATGTGTGGTATTGGGTTAAGAATTAAAAGATGGTAAAAAATAAAACATGAATATTTTGAAACCGAAAGAAGGGGCAGTTAGGGGAAGGTCAATCTAACTATCTAAGCCCCGTCTACTTCAGATTTAAAAAATGTCTCTATTTTTTTGTGCAAAAAATTTCGTGTATTTTTTTTCAAAATTTTTTACCGGCGAATCTGGTCTCAGCCGCGACCTGGCTCCGCCGTGCGTGGACTGAAAGTAAACTAAAAGGTGAAAATTATGAATGCTATACGTAGTACATTTGTATAGTAACTATCAGCCCAACTTTATTTTTTAGGACAACTTCAATGTATTTCTCTACTCTATTCCTATACTTTTAATAAATTAATTTGCAAAGAAAAATAATATAATCAATCTTCATCACTGCTATTGGTTTAAAAAAACATAGTGCATACAAACACACTACTTGCAAGGTTTCCAAATACAGACAGAACATTTAATACTCCGTATTTCTAATACTTTAATTTAAAGAAAGTGACGTACATATGTTTTAAACAGTGAATTATGTTTTTACTAATGACTAATGAGTAATGAATTGGGCAATTTATACCCTACGACTGGCGCACCATGAGGATGGTGTGCCCGGTCCCTAAGAAACCTGCGGAAAAGAAAAAGGGACGAGACAGAAGAAAGGAAGAGAGGTCGAGAGAAAGGAAATCTGATCTGGACAATCGTAGAAGTGGGTTGGAGTTATCACCAAGCACCGGCCATAGCAGAGTCGCCGAAGGAGAAGGGAAACTTCGCCGGAGAGGGAAGGTTGCTGCCGGCAGACCAAACTGTTGTTGACGCCGTCGCTTGCCCGGAGAGCCATCGTGTGACGCCACCGCCATCAGAGAAGAAGTCCTGCCGCCACATTAGTCGGAGGTCTTCAATCGCTTTCCGCCATCTTTTTGAACGAAGAAGATAGTATTATGAATTATTTTATATCTTCCTCAATTTACATGTCGGGTACACTCAAGTTACATCAAGATTTGTCTAAAGTTACATATCCCAAATTACATCTAATTTGTTTTCAAGTTACATTTCTATTAAAGCAGTTTACATTTCAACGAGTTACATGTGAATATGTATAATTTACATTTTGATTAACTTCAAGTTACATGTGGAATCACACAAGTTACATTTCATATAGTGATGGGAGCATGGTGCTCACCATGCACCGTATAAGCACTGAATGAATTGTGTTTGCATATTGTGTGCGTATATATATATATATATACAAATATATATCAGGAAATAATCCACACCGGTGATATTCCGTATAAAATTGGTACTTCGTATATACTTTAATTCGTACTTGCTACTTGTAAAGATGAAAGCAGTTGTTCAAAAATATTGAGGCAATTAATATGAAAGAAACTCAAGCTTCAAGAAGAATCACCCAGAAATTCAAAACACTAAGGACCCAGAACCTAAGCCCAAAAAAGAATGGGGAGGTATATATGCGATACTTATTTGAAAGTTCAGAGATTTTTCATAACAATAAAATAATTCAGGCATAAACAAAAGCAATCACATGCAAGCTAAGGGCCGAAAACAACTGGAGGATTAAGCAAAACATTCATGAACAAAATAGTAAATTTTGAATTATCATTTATCAATCAAGTTACACCACTTACATTTATAACCTGAGATTACAAACTGAAATATGTTCTCAAATCATATCTAGCACACCATGTTGTAGGGCTGGACTGAACCGGGCCGGTTCGGGCCTCGGGCTTGGGCCCGGCCGGGCCTCGGTTCAGAAATATGAGGCCCGAACCGGGGGTGGGCGGTTCCGGGCCGGACCGGTTCACCCGGGTATTTAATTTTTTTTTTTGGCTTCTTTTATTGAACCCCTAACCCTCCCCCTCAACCCCAAACCACCCCAAACCATCTCAAATGGCCCAAAATACCTAATCCAACCCAAAACTTAAAAAAATTTCAAAAAAAAAATATTAATTCCGGCCCGGACCGGGCCTGAACCGGCCGGGCCGGTTCACCAAATAGAGGGCCCGGGCCCGGAACCGGTATCCACCGGGCCAGTTCGACCCGAACCGCTGGTGGACCGGGCCACCGGGCCGGGCCGGTTGCTACAGTGGGCGGGCCGGGTCGGTTCCGGGTCGGGCCGCCCGGCCCGAGTCCAACCCTACCACGTTGTAGACTTGTTAGTTTCAATTTCAACCACATGACTGTCATCAAATAACTCCTAGTAGCTTCTTTGGTGTTGTGGGTGGAATCCAAATCCTTGGTGGTCCTCTTCCCTTCTTAATTATCCTTCGCCATGCAATCCCAAATGCATGAGTGATTGAAACGATGGCTTCTTCCCTCTTCTTATCTCATCTTCCAGAATAGATAAATGGAAAGTCTGGACAGACATAAAGAAACAACGAAGTAGAAGATTTATCTTGGAAAATAAGAGATGGCGAGAGATAAGGTGGGATGGAGTAGCACACACTCTATAAAAAATTATTACTCCGTACATAATTTGACCGGCCTAAAACTAAATCCACAATAGAGATGAATGAGTAAACACTTGGCTAACAATTCGGACGCCCTGGCAAACAAATAGGTGCCTGAAACATGAGTAACAAAATACCGCCAGTGTTGAGATCTTTCCGCCACCCTTGCAATTTTTTTTTTATCGTAGCCACCCTTGCAATTTGCAAATCACAACCATTTAATCTTATATAGGGCAACCATTTAGAATTATAAAATTATGAGAAGTCCAAATATCATGCTCCAGAAATATTAAACTATTGAAACACTTCGAAATTGCTAAAATCACTTCTGGAATTCCAAACATTAACTTTACGCTTCTGGAATTGCAATCTTTAATACTCGTAATTTAAGTCACTTAACAAAAAAAAGGATGACACCCCATCCCTAAGGGCCCCCAACACCGACCGGACGGCACGATGGGAGAATGTAAATTGGACTTTAATCACAATCTGACAGATAGAGAGTGGCGCTCTGTCCCCGATACTTGCAGAAGCCCTATGTATTTTTCAACATAGTAACCCCTCATCGCAGTTGCCGGGATTCGAACCCGAGACCATTTTTTTTAATTTAAGTCACTTAACCGGACAAATATCTGGAATTAGGAATTCTCGAGAAGTTCAAACCTCAGATGAGGAACATCTTCCCATGCTGTTTTCATTTTTCAATTACTCAACCGCTTCGGAATTGGAAAGGTCACTTCTAGAATGTTACTTTACAATTATCAATTCAATCGAACAATTAATAAATGATAAATAATTAAATCCAATAGATCGATCAAAGCAGTAGGCGTAGGCAAAATGGTTTCTCACGTCCATGTCACACTTTTCCCGCCCATTTTCCCTACCACTATTTTGTTTTTATATAGAATAATAGATTCTGACCCTCACGCATTTTTCTGGCTCCGCCCCTGACTGGAGACATGGGAGAAACATGTTAAGGCATAACATAGGTACAGGATATACATGCAAAAAAGAATGATACAACGCAAGCTAGTAAATATAACCGATTACATAAATATATGCGATTAACAACGGGAGTGAATACAACGCAAGATGTTATATATTTAGATTATGCAAGAATAAATGTGATCACTTATGCTCTTTATCAACTTTCATTCCCTCGATCCAACGAGCAACAATGGGAGTAAGAGCAACAGTCGGTGGAAATCTTATCGGGGATGCAGCCTTGTGGGCAGCATAAGCCAATGCGAATGTCCCAACTTTCTCCCCCGTCTCATTTGATGAAATCCCGACCTGCAAACACACATTGTTCATCAAGACATAGACTTGTAAAATATTTCAACTTTCAAGAGACAACAAACTCACCTTCTGTAGCAATGCTTGGACATCAACTCCGGCATTGATCAACGCATAGCAGAGACCGAAGGATATCAAGGAGAGAGTGATGGAGGTAGCCAGGTAGGCTCCTCCATATTTCGCCAAAAGCTCCTTAGCTTCCTTCCCTTTCGACTTGTTTCCTTGGTTTTTTTCATCTTTTGAACTGAATATCTACAGGGTGTTCAGTTAACCAGCTAAAATGTCACTAAACCCGCTAAAATAATTACGCCAACTTCAAGAAAACAATACATTAAATGAAAATTGCGTGTTGACAAAAGAGTTTTTTGTCTCAACTACTATTCCAAGTCTCCAACGACTACTACATGGTTATCACTCTTTAGCTCTTGAGTATATATCATTTTTGTCACATTTTAGTCCATTCTTCCAAAACTCACCAAACTAAATTTGTCTCGAGCATTACTACATATGATAAAGGGAATTAAAAGGACTGAAATGTGGCAACATTATTCCATCTGATGAGCTCGTTTAAATGTAAAAATTTAAATGAAAAATTGTTATTATCAGCTCGCCCCAATGTTTTGGCACGGCTATGTTGTTAGGAATTAACTCACACAACACGAAAGACAATAAGAAAGAACCTACGAAATTTGGTAACCCAGTTCACCACAAAGGACTACATCTGGGGGCACTACATAGCCAGGATATTGCTATTAATTTTGGATCAATGATTACAAGGAGAGAGCTTGTATTTATAGAGAGCAAAACCTAACCCCTACCGGTAATAGGACGCGCGTGTGGCCCAACCGGAATAAAAAACTCGCGGCCCATACAGAAAAGGACCCAAAAAAAATTCGGAATGGGCTTGGTTATACAGTCTCTAACACCTTACATATGTCACTGGTTCAAGTCAGTTTCTAACGTCCTATCCCAGGCTTATGTTACTTTGTCGGGTGTACGAAGCTTAATAGGGAGTGACATTAAGAGTATATTTTGTTCAATTTCTTTCAAATGTGGATAGGGAGTGACACTAAGAGTATATTTTGTTCAGTTTCTTTCACTAGGAGTATATTTTGTTCAATTTCTTTAATAGGGAGTGACACTAAGAGTATATTTAGTAGTTTTAACTGGTTGATAGGGAGTGACACTAAGAGTATATTTTGTTCAATTTCTTTCAACCTTGCTAGGGTCAACCTTGGCTTGGTCCCAATAAATACCAGATCCAAAATGAAATTACTGGGACATTTTTGTGTCAAAATTAATAGTCAATGTTTAAAAATAGAAATGAAGTATAGTTTGAGTAGATAATTGAAACGTAAAAAACCTCATAAAACCCATCAGAAATCTAAACAAAAGTAGAACCATCAAACTAGCTTTCTTGAACGATTATAGATAAAGGAACATAATATAATCCTAAAGATTTGCGGAAAATATAAGAAATACCCATTTATTATCAATTGATTGTAAATACCTTCCATAGACCTGCTTCTAGACCATATTTCTTGACGACTTCCTCTGCAGATGTCTGAGACTTGATATCCTCTGATTTCTCCTTCACTGCCCTCAATCTGAGCTTGCTGAAATTGGAATTTGCAGAAAAGCTTGGCGCACTGTTTGGTTTTGTATAATTCAAAGGGGGCCGCAGAGGAGAGGAGAACATTGAAGCTTTACTGAAGTTGTGAGAAGGAAGGTGCAGATCAGCAGCCATTGCTGTGAAAAGTGGATAAACAACTACATAGTACTCCTGGTTATTTCAAAACTTATCCACACATGTCAAGTCCAGCATAATTCGTTGGATGGGCATTTCAGTTTGGGTTGAAATAAAACCAAACCATTTACTCCGTAAAATAAAGGGGAAAAAGATAAAATAGACTTTATATTAAGGATAAAATATATTTTGATTTAACTGTTGTTGAGGTTTAGTTCCGCAGATCTGAAAGCCCAACACACGCTTTGGATATTAAGGATGTTTGTTTCGGTTAGAAAGGTGTATAAATATAACATAGTGAATTACTACTTTCGTCCCCCTAAGTTTGGGACAAAGGGGTGTGGTGTGGTTTTTAAGAAAAAGTAGAATTATGTGATTGGTGTTGAATTGATAAAGTGTGAATAAAGTAAAAATGAATTCTAACCACTCAAATATTATCTAATATAGTATGAGACAAACTTAATGGGACGGACGAAAAAGGTAAAACGAGACAAAGTTAGGGGGTGGAGGGAGTAAGATTTAACTCAGAAGCTAACTCGTATTACGTAATTCTGTGATTACAAAGAAATTTCCCGAACGGTAGTCGGTATAAGTTCAAAATACAAGAATGAGAGATATGATTCTATTGCTAAGCTCTGAGTCTCAAATTGCTCACTCCTTCCAATGTATTCAATGCAGGTATTTATACTAAGAGGGGATAAGTGAGATGGACACGTGGCCGAACCCGGTAGGCTGTTATCTCTGCCACGAAATGCACCCATGCCTCTACTTGCTACCGCCATACTTTAGCATTAACTGCAGTTTGCCACTTGTTGATCCCCGGTCGGGTACCCCGTTCGGAGTGCGGGACCCCTTTGTGGGTGTTTTGATGCCAATCACCTGTTTAATTAGTTCAAGTGGCCGGATAATTCTACCTGAATGTTGTTCAGGCATCTGCCGTTCGGGACATTTTTGGACCTTTCCGATTGCGTTGGGCTTCCTGTTTTCCCTGGGCCTTCTTTATGCTTTGGGCCGGGTGTATTGGGCCCAAGCCCAATATCCCAACAACTGTGCAGTTAAATAAGACCCTCGTTTAACTCATTTACTACGCAGTTAAATAACCATTTGCACGAATTCGTAAAGATAACTGCGCAGTTAAATAACCATTTCAGTTTGGGTTAAACGAAGTACTACAGAGTACTTACCCAATAAATTACTCCCTCCATAAATTTAAAATCTTCTCACTTCAAAAGTAGATAGATTAAGAAAAGTGAAAGAGGATATTAATTATTGAGGGTATAATGGGAGAGTAATGGACTAATGTGATGGAATGAGAAATAAATCCAAAAAAATAGTTGTAATAGTGTATTATTTTCAAAATTATTGAAGGTATAATAGGAAGATCGAGAAATGAGAAGATTTTTTTTGTTACGAAGGGGTACAATATTGTATCAATTCGTCCCATTATGCGTGTTTCATCTTCCCTTTACACTTTGTTTCATTAAGTTTGTTTTATAAAAAATTTGATAAAATTTATATGGTTTTAAATCATTCTTATTTTATTATTACTTTATTTATTAAGTATCAACCACATAAAATCACTTTTCTAAATAATTGCATGTCTGCATCACGTCATTATGTTTTAATGTTAGTGAGACGGAATGATGGAGATGATAACTTTAAAATAAACCAGTGAGATAAAGTCAACGTAATCTAACATTAATTAGCTTTAAAATAACGGACCAATTAACACTTAAAATAATCAGCAAAAATCTGCAAAAACATACAAAAACAGCATACATGTGCAAATTGTTACATGTGTAGGAGAGGCTATCCCATTTAGGCTATTCAGATGAGATAAAAGATTTTGTGGATTATGAGTTTGTCTTAAAGTTTACCGTGAGTCACACTATCTTAATTGTGAATTAAAATCACAATAATACCACATGAGCCTGACGTTTTAACCAGTGTTAATTACCAACTCCATAAAATGGAAATTTAGGGAACAGTAAAAATTTCATGTTCTCGTATAAAGTTTTCAGTTTATACTGACCAAGCGCCTGCAAGGATTAAAAAATTACACTTCGAAGCAAACAAATGGCAGGAAGTGTTCCTTAAAAATCTTCTTTACAAAAATGTTCACCACGTCTAACAAGAGCAGAAATTGAAATGTGTAGCAGCAATATATAAAGAAAAGCATTAATACATCTCAGCGGATTCTTTAATAGTCACTGCAGCTCCAAAGCTGTAAAGGAAAGACAAGAAGAAGCCTCAAATAAGGGCGAAACAGTCTGCAACAAAAAATGAGCACCGCATAAAAACAACAAATTTTCATTCCAAAGCTAAACTTTGGACAAAAACCATCAAATGACCTTTTTTATCTCCTAGTTTAGAAAGGAGGAAAAAGAAAGAAAGATATTAACAAATAATACTACCCACCATTGGACTGTGCAAATACCAGATTTAATTATTCATCGACACTAATGATTACATTTACTGGATCAGCTGCCTCCCTTTTGCTTTAGCGTGATTTTGTCACCCAAGCTAAGAGCAATTCCTTGAGTTTTGCTCCTTATCCGAATGTAGCCGCTCAGCTTACCATCTGATTGTTTCTCTATGCTTACGTTCACTAGAGCATCCTCCCCAAAGACACTCTTTGCATACAAGTTAGCAGCAATGAACCCACAATCACCCTCCAGTGCAGATCTGATTCAAACAATCCCAAACGACGACAGAAAATGCTTGTCATCAAATAGGCAACACGGTAAATGTATAAGGGAGTACTTTACAAAACTTATATGCTAAAAGTAGGATCATGTAGTTAGATGCGAAGCTCTTTCCATGCATGTGTTCAGATAAAGGTAAAAAGGTTGATCAATTAAAGGGGATAATAATATGAAAGCCTCTCAGTCAGAATATTCAGATTTATAAGCAGAAATAACTCACTGTGCAGTCAAGCAGTTCATATTGGTTGATTTGACTATATGGTCCAAAAAGTCTTTCTCACCTTGAATGACAGTATTGACAGCAACCTTCATAAGACCAATTCAATGTTAGGATGACATCAGAATACAAATGCGAATGGAGCTTTTAATAAAAGGTGGACAGAGAGTGTGAGAAGCAAAAGTACGGCTAAAAGCAATGGTCTGAATTTATTGGACTGGTTTCATGCTAATGTGAATAACATGGTGATGTGAAATGTCATCTGGCATAGTTCAAAAAATTAATGAAATGTGTTTTAATGTGTTTCAATAAATAAAGTTCAAACAGTTATTTGAATGCCTTCCCGATTGAAAGGAGTTATCCCGATTGAAAGGAGTTATCAAATAAAGTTCAATAAATAAAGTTCAAACATGGTTTCCATTTTATTTGAACTCCTTCAAACAGTTATCTTCAGGAATTCATTTGAATGCCTTCCCGATTGAAGTTTTAGTTCAAATATGATTATAATTCATTTACACTATTTTGGTTACATAAATGATCATATGACAAAAACTCCAAAGTACTTCATATCACTCATTCACTCTACATAGTTTTGTAATCAGAGGAAAATACGAGATCACGACTAATTACTACTGCATTTCATTTTCACTCGGTTCAGTGAAAACATTACTATATAATTGTCTTTAGATATGATGATCAGTTACAAAAAGGAAAGTTTCGCAACAAATAAAAAATTCTATAATGGGAAAGTGGGGAAAGTAAAAGTGAAATGAGGTAGCCCTCAAAAGAACTCCATAGTGTTTCATCATTTCATCCTAAGGTAAATGAATAGTGACTAATGGTCAGGTATAAAGCAAGAACACACAAGTCATAAGATTAAAAAGAAGAAAAAACAAAACTATACCTTGTTTTCCCACTCAAATTCAGCCCACATAGTTCTAAACGAATTATCACTGCACACTGCTGGAGAGATGTAATCCATGATATCAATATGGATGTCATTTAGCACAACAACAGTGCGCTCAAGCACATTTGAAGTCTCATATACAATGTTGCCAAAGATGACTCCAGTCTCAGTTGAAGAGACCTTGATGTTTGCTTTTATCTGCTTGCTTGATTCGGGAGCGAGGGTGTAATTTTGAGGACGCTCGACTAGTTTGAGATCACCCATAGTGGCTAATTCTAAACATAGATTCTGTAGGGTCTCCTTTGTTCTATTGATTACTGTAACATCCAGTACAATATCATATTGGTGTACAGTAACATAAGCCTCAGCATAGACAGGATCACTAAATCCAGTGAGTTGAAGAATACGACTTAGTTTATTGGCATCATTCTCATCCTTGACAAATTCTCCGGTTGCACGCTTCAGATCATCTTGGACCTCATCTTCCAGCTCCAATTGGCTCATGCCCTAAAATCCAAGTAACACAGTGAGGATGTGCTAAAAAAGCCAATGCAAATGACCTCCAAAGTAAAAAAGAAAAACAATTGAAAACACCATTACACAGTGTGATAATGAATCAACTAAGTCATGCTTTCATTAACCTAATTAACCAACATTCCTAAGATGAGATATGCATTAATACGGCTCAGAATCTCAGATGTGCAGCTCTTACCCCCCTCCTCTTCAAATGATAAAAATCAATGAGATCATCTGGTTGAGAGTGAGAGACTTGAGCCTTCGCTTTGATCTGCTCTGTCTCACGAAACTGTTTATCCGAGAGCATTTTCACAAAACTCTCACGGCAAGATGTTAACCAGATCTTCCTGACTTCATCCCCAGTGTTACATAGCAATCTTATACAAAGCACAATCCTGTCATAAGAATCATTATCAATTGGATGAGGAAGCAGTGAAGACTGCCCCAGCTGAATTATTGACACCATAATCAATAATGCTTCTGTTGTTAATTTGTTCACTTCAACTTTTGATGGTTGAACCTCTTCCAATCTTAGAATCAGCTTGGTCAGTGTGCAGGCAACAACTGCTCCGAGGAAGAAATCACCAGTAAGGAGAAGAGATCTCAAGTTTACAGTAGCCAAAGACCCTTGGGCAACTGTTGGAGGAAGGAAGGCAGTTTCAGAGGCTGCACTTTGAGTAGCATATGTACCATCAGCAAGGACAGCAGGCCTTCGAGATGAAACAGTAATGGAGTTCACTTGTTGAGGTCTTCTGGAAGAAGAATCAGCAGCATCACCTTCTTCAGAAGGTGAGTAAAATGGGAGTTCACCTAAGCACTGCTTTATGGTTTCAATACCACTCTCAACTTCAGAAAGAGAAAGACAATACTCTCCAATGATCCAAAGTGCATATGTACAAACTCGAGCAGCTCGGATCTGGTAGAAAGTGTCAAGTAACCTGGTTACAATAGAAACCCGTAACTTGGGGTTGGTTTCAATTATCTCTCTCACAAAAACAGCCACATCGATAGCAGAAGCCACATTATTGTCTCCCAAGAAATCCATCAACAGATGCACCACAGTGCTTGCTACTTCTGGGAACTTCACTGCACAAGAATGAATGGCTTGGATGAGCAATTGCCGGTATTCCCCGTTCTTCTCAAGTTCCCCACCTTGTGTTTTCACGACTTCTTTCTTCAGGGTGTGGACAACCTCATTGATATTTCTGGGAGTGACCAACTCCAGAACAATATCAAGCGTTTTCTTCCTAATGTCAAGGTTTGGGCTAGAGAGTGCTCGGAGAGTATCCATAATCATATCAGTCATAATATCTCTGTGAGAAGCTTTAAGTTCATTGAGTCGATCAAGAAGAATGAGCTTAACATTGTGGTCACTCTGAGAGGCAAGAAGTTGGCAGTATGTATTAGCAGCAGCTCTAATTGCCGTTGGGGCAGATGACAAAGAAACTAGAGTTCCAGCGCATTCATAGACAACGGCAGCAGAAGGGGCACTCAACAGAGATATAATTATCGTTATGTACCTTCCTTTCTCTGCTTTGTTAGTCCTGCAAACCTTTCGAATCAAATCCAAGACAACCATCTGAAGTAACTCACCCCAGTCAGGAATCCTATCCACGTGTGTCAGTAGATAATTGATTGCACGTTCCTGGGAACACTGGAAAAGCATCAGAAATGCATTCCTCTTAGCTGATGGGTCCTGTTCTGTAGAAAGAACATTCTCAATCTTCTCAGGGGCATCTACCAAAAGCTGCTCGCCTTGAGGAAGCTTGAATACAGACATTACTGCAAGAATGGCATTCCTCCGCACGTATGGATGACGGTGTTCCAAGTTGCTCATGATGGAAGGAATCAGAGGCTCAATAATATCAACCTCATTCAAACGGCAAAGGAATCTCAACGTAACTCCACGGATGTACTCATTTGGGTGCTGCAGATTGTTCCTCAAGTTTTGGCAGATTAGAATCATCTCAGGTAGAACATGCCCCTTAGAATCTGTCTTCTCAATGATCTCCAAGTACAGCAACAGCAGCTTCTGAATCGTATGGTCCTCAGATGGCAAAACGTATCTAATAACAGTGATAAATAACTGGGAAAGAGTTTCCCCATTCAACAAAAGCATGATTGCCTTCTTCATGGCATCAACCTTGGCAGGGATGTCATTCCCTTCAAGGGCTTCTTTTATCTCATTGGCAATAGCCGGCGTGTTCTTGTCAAAATGTATCAGAAACGAGCATGACTTCTCCATTTCACACTAAATACCTATTCCTCAAGATATATAAATGATTAATAACCTGTGAATGCATAAACATTGTAGAATATGTGTAAAGAAGTTAGTATAACTCAATGTGAAAGCAAAGTTATAACCCAATGTAAAGAAGTTATAACGCAATGATAAAGCAAAGTTATAACGCAATGTAAAGAAGTTATACTGCAACGTGAAAGCAAAACAAATTCAGGATACATGTGTGTGTCCTGAAATCAGTCATAGAAAATGCTTTAACTAAAAAGCAAAGTGGAATAGTTTTAAACAACAAAACTCGAAATTGAGGATACAAGGTGTGAATGGATCTATAGTTTAGATTAGTAGACAGGTTTATAATATGTACATATAGTTTAGTGTATAGTTTTTAAAATATGATGCATATATACTTTTTTATAAATATTTCAGTGGCGACGACAACAGCTTGTCATAGAAGGAGATAACATCATAACACATGGAGCCAACAACCCACTAAGACTAACCCATGTTACATAATATACATACCACTAAAAATCCCAACTTTATAAGACAAATAAAAAAAAAATAATAGTTTGAATCAAATAAAAAAGGATTGGCCATTGTAGAGAAAAGCAACATCCAAAGGAGATGCAAATATGCAATCCCCACTTATCTAGCCATGATGTAAACTTATACTGCTATACATATATAAATATAGGGTGTGGTTCCAATGAGAACAATACTTAACATGACAACGTGAGAACACACACATTTAACCCAATGTGATACACAATAGATCCCATATGGTGTACATTTTAACTTTGCTCAAACCAAGCTAACATAAATAGTTGTGGTGGCATTTTGGTAAATATTAAGCTCAACGTGAAAAAGTGCATCACATCAGGGTAAATGTGGTGTTTTCACGTTAAGCCTTGTTCTCATTTGTCTTTAATCTATAATACACACACACACACATGCAGCTTTAAATATGAGATGTAAATGGAAGAATGATAGCTTTGTCAATAAAAAGTTTTTAAAAATGTAACCATTAATAATCATGTAAAATTATTTTAATAACCACTACCACAATTATCAGATAAATTTAAGTTCAAAAATTGAACAACAAGACAGATGGACCAAAGCAACGATTTTACAAAAGACTACACATTTCGGAAATGCAGAAAATGTGTGTCAAAAACACTTAATGTTCATACAGTGTACAATAAAAACACAAAATCGGAAAATGAAAGAATGGATAAAGAACGAACCTCAACAACACCCTCTTAGCTTGATCTATTGAATGCTGATAAGATATATAAATATATGTAAGATCAAACAAAACAAGACACGATAAAATAAGAAGACAGTTAGTAATAATCGACTAACCTCAACATATTAGACGAACGGCGTGGTGTAGACTGCGTCCGACCTAAGGGGAAGGAGATTGGATTGGGCGTTTACGGTGTCAATGGAGGGGGTGGAATCAGAGAGAGGGCAATATAGCGTAGACCGTATGGCTGAGAGATGAGCGGTAGAGAGAGACGGTGGATCACTAGATCGGAGAACGGTGAATACACAGGCGGAAGCAGCAGTGTTTCGAAACGGTAGCAGGATGCAATGTCAAATGACTCAAATCAATACTCCGTATTAACAATTTAGAAATTTTGGCAGATGATTTTCTAATTGGACAGGATTAAACCCTTTGAGTCAATAACTTTAAATCATTTAATTTAGCAGATTTTAGATTGTTTTTACTGCCTATTTGGTAAGATTAAAATTGGTTAAATGAGTTATATTGAAACTGATAAAATTTTAACAAAATTGGTTGATTTATTTTCGAAAATATTATATTCAAAGTATTTTTTAATAATAAGTAAAGGAAACACTTACCAATATAAAAACAATGATTCTCTACTCTTAGCATGCGAAGTGATTGCATGCAAAGTATAAGAAAACAATTATTTTGCATGTAAAATAAATTACATTGTTTGACTAGATGTGCAATTTACTTTTGAATTGCACGTAAAGTCGTTGGGGTGCTTCATAAAAAGCATGCAAAGTATATTACCGCCCTCTCCCCGCATAAAATATTGGGAAAACTGTCAAATAGGTCCTCGAACTTTCATAAAAAAGTCAATTAAGTCCTTCTATAGGAGACTCTGTCCGGTCATCGCGATTTGGGGCGGTTCCCGCTGGAATTTTTTGATGAAAGTTTCTGAGCATCTTATTCATCAAGTCTAGTTTACTCATACCAAATTTCAACTAAAAATTTAATCGGGAACGCATTCAAATTAATTCGAGAACGCAAAAATGCGCAGTTATCTTCAAGAATTAATTTGAACGTGTTCACGATTGAATTTTTAGCTGAAATTTGGTATGAGTAAACTAGACTTGGTGAATAATATGCTAAAAAAAATTCATCAAAAATTTCCACCGGGAATTGCCCCAAATCGCGACGGCCGGACAGAACCTCCTATAGAAGGACTTAATTGACCTTTTTATGAAAGTTCGAGGACCTATTTGACAATTTTCCCTAAAATATTTTACATGATACAGTGCAAAATGTTTTGAAAAAGTGTCCTACAGTTTACATTAAATAATCAAACCAAACAGTGTAAACATTTTACATTCTTACACTTCGAATGCAAAGTCGTTATTTTACATCCTACCAAACGCCCCATAACTTCATTCAATTCACCAATCACAAAAGTAACATGAAACTCGCTTATATTAATATTAATTATTATACAATTCAATCAAATTTTATGTGTTTCATAAAAAAAATGACTAATAAGAGTGATAAGTTGAAAATACCAGTTACTAAACGAACTCATATAATCTTAAGTTGGAAAGTAAATGTGAAAGTTAATAATAAACTTTGAAATTAATATGGTTTAAATCTCGTATTGAGGGTATTTTTGTCTATTCTTGTCTGCTCTGGTCACTTTTTCGCCCGAAATTAAAAGTAGCCATACATTTATCGATTAAAACGTTACAAGAAATTTCTTGCAAATATTTCTTAGAAATAATGTCAAAATAAGACTATCAAATTTTGACTGGACAAAAATGGGACTTGCTTTTATTTAGGAAAAAAATAAGACCTACTTCATTTTTCATCTGCTCATTCATTTCTCATTTCCATCTCCTTCTACACTCTCCGTGTGACCCATTCATATCTGTTTGTTGCAACTGACTTGCTACTGTCACAACACCTCAACTGTGGCGACCTTAGCAGCATCTCGGGTTTGTGACTGTTTCTCTTACCCCTCATATTACTCTCCTTCTTATGGCATGGAGGACTCAATTTCAAAATAAGGGAGGCGGCGTTTGTGAAGGCGCGGTTGCAGATGGATCTAGGGTTTGATGAAGTCCAGATTGGTGGTGCTCAGGCCAGCTAGTGACAACAACGACTTTTTGGTAAAACTACAAGTAGTGGACACTTGGTTTCTGATCTGCCAAGGGCGGTGGCAGTGGTTGGGCATGGGGATGTGCAGGGGTGGGGTTGATAGGGCATGGTCGTGGGAGGCGGTGGAGGTCATTGTCTGTGTTGGTCAATGGTTGCGTTGGTCACTGGTCGATTTGGTCATTGGTCGTATTTTGGTCATGGTCACTAATTAATCAGGTTGGTCACTGATCGGGTTGGTCACTGGTCGAATTGTTCATGATCATTGATATTAATTTAGTCTCATTTTTGGAATATTTTGAAAGTGGTCCTGTTTTTGTTGGAATTTTATTTGAGATTAACATCTCAAAAACAGATTTATCTCTAGGGATGGACATAAAAACCAAACTGAACCGGTACCGGCCCGACCCTTAACGGTACCGAACCTAAATACCGGGTATTTAAACGGTTATATAGATTTTTATCCTGAACTGAAACCGTACCGTTTGAAATGGGTACGAGACCGGTCCTAAAATTTGAGAACTGAAGAATAACGGACCGAACCGTTCAAAAATTTGAGTTTTTTTTGCATACCAATAAATCTCTTTTATATAGACCAACATTTTTATAGGCCAAGCATGTATTCATATGTCCCTAAAAAAGCTAAATGTGTGTGTTTATATTTTGGTACATATTGAAATAAAGAATGCTAAAGTTTTAAAAATCTGTAGTAATGTAGTGTATATAACTTTTTGATGTATCATATTTGTGCTATCTTACAAGTTCATTAATGTGGTTTAAATCTTAGATCTCACGCTTCAACTATAAATTAAATTAGAACTAATATTTAACCTAGAACAAAGAAAAAGAAAGTTGAATTTTTTCTATTATATTTAACAATTTGATGTTATTCCGATCTTTTTTTATATTTTTGCATGAATTTAATAAATTAAAGATGATGTTTATTTGGTGTATCATCATTTTGCTACATTTTTCGTTTGTTTTATTTCACTATTTAAGTATTTGTGAATTTAAATACAAAAACATTAGCTTCTTGAATATTTCCTAGTACTTCATTTAGGATGCACTTTTTTGTATTTTTATCAACAATTCATTTGAGTTGGTCGGTGTGTGATATCTATTAATTGCAAGTTTGTCCAAAATTTTTAGCATGTATTTTACATTGTATAGTATCATTTTGTATCGCTCCAAAATGACATGGTATCAAATAGTTCCATCATTAGAATCGAACTGTGGCTAATAATTAAAAACCTTATGGATACATTACAGATTTTACTAATTTACCATAGTGTTTTACAGATTTGGGACCGGTCCGCCCCTAATTATATCAAAACCCGGCGCCCCATTCAAACCGAGCCATAAGCTCAAAAGCGTAAACAAACGCATTTTTAAGTAGAAATCCATACTCCGTATATGTTATCTTTCATATATCAATATTAAGATGAAGGAAGAAGTGAAATTTGGATTAGGATAGGATAGTACGAATGGATTGAAAGTATAAGACTTCTCATCCCAGTAAAACTACGACTCAAGAAAGATTTCTAATGCATATGCAATATTGCAATACGAATGCCTTATAAAACCCTCAAATAATTATAAAAAAAATAGTACCATAATTACAATTAAGACGCGGGTATTTCAATTTCCCCGCGGCAAGAAGCGGAATATGCAGAGTGATAATAACAATGGCCGGAGACCGCCGTATGTGGAGGCCGGCGGCGCTTCATCAGCATCTGCTCCTACAGCTCCACACGAATACACTTCGTTGAAGGATATACTGCCGCCGTGCTTGAGGTGCCAATGGTGTGTGTCCGTCGAGCTCACCCTCAAAAAGCCGCTCCTCCGCCTGGCGCCGCATCAACGGCCGCCGCACCCTCAATGCTGGACGTGCTGGGTGCGGGGACTCGCCGAGACTATGTTCCGCCGCCCGCACCGCCGCCTTGTCCGCAACATTAAACGATCTTTCTCGACTCTCTTTGCTCTTGGCCGACCTCGCCAATGACGTACGATTAAGTTGTAGATAATGACAACAGTTTTTATTTGTTTGTGATAATCATTGAGTTTATGATAAAGTATCATATGCTTAATTTGATTTATCTGTAAATTTTGTGCTTTTATAGAATCTCCTAGTTGCTTTGGTTCTCTTTAGTTTAATTTAATTTTGTTCATATATAGGATTAAACTTGTAGATATACTTCGTAATATATTAGATAGATCCATACATAGTTACATACAACGCTTAGCATTATTAGCGTTGTTGATCAGAATGATAACAAAAAAAGATCCATCTCGATCAATTAAAAATATTACTCAATAACGTGTCTGTTCTTTTACGGTTTCATCTACTAAAAACTCCGTAATTAAGCGTGTTGTACATTTTAAGAACTCCGCAATTACCATACTTGCACCGGGCTAGTCTTAGGATGCATGTTGCACATGACTAGTTTTTAAGAACTCCACAATTACCATACTTGCAACAAAATAGTCTTAGAATGAACAATCCTTTGTGAATTTCGTAAGGTGTGCATGAGTGAAGATAAAATGTGTTTTAAAAACTTGTGTTGGTTTGTCGGGACAATAACGAATCCAGAGTGTATTAGTGATAAAAGCATGAGTGAGTTTGTAAGGACAATATTAAATCTAGTGCATAAGGGAGTAATCACCTTGAACCTTGCGGGGTCGGTATTACTATCTTGTTGAACTATATCTACCCACATGTGAGTAGTAAGATTCATTATCTACTCATTAGCATTTTCGGGGAGATCAAAATTCATTGAATCAATATGCTTGTATAAGAGAACAATGTATTCTTGGACACGCCAAAACTAATTACTATTGTATACTCCCTCCATCATTCTATCTTTGTCTGATTTTACATTTATCATTCGTGCCATTAATTTCGTCCCATATTACTTTTGATGATATTTGTTGGATAATTACAATGCATTCTTACTTTATTTACATTTTATCAATCTAATATGAATCACGTTACCTTGTTCCACATTTTTTTGTATATCTTCCTCTTGTCTCAATCTTAGAGAGACAGGAAGTCGCATTATACAAAAATGTTGATACCCGTTTAGCTGAGAAGACTTTGGAACATGAGTTAAGTATTTCAAAATAATTGTTTGATCATGGTGCTTAACGAAGCATGACAAAGATGGACTAGACTAATTCAGCCGTATAATATTGACGAAGGTCAATATAGAGTTAAAAATTGACGTTGATTTGGAAATATCCCCCAAATGTATAGCATTTGCCCTGCTCTTTGATGACCTTGTGAAGACTATAAATTTCATCACACACTGAGTAGGCGACAAAGTAGTAAGTAGTAACTATTGGTGATTAAAATTTAGAGAAAATAACCATTGCTAAGACCAAAACATTAGCCTTTTCCAAAAATAGGAGTTAATGTTCGGTTTTTTCTAAGTAGGACTAATTTTTCACTTTTACCCCAAATTGAAATAATTAATTAATTAACCTAATTGATTGCCCCTAGTTCCCTTGCACAATCGAGGTAGTCCATTGGTGGTGGGGGCAGTGGCGGCGGCGAACTCCAACGGCGGTGGGCAGGCGGCGGTGGTGCTAGGAATCTGGATATTTCTAAAGGTGCTCCGGCGGCGGCGATTGGAGATCCGACGATAGGTGGCAAGCGACGGTCCGTTGAGTCCTGAGGCAGCAGCGGTAAAGCCTATGAGGGTATTTTAGTCTAATCACAAATAAAAAAAATTCAAATTAAAGATGTTTAAACTAGGTGGTCCTATTGTGGGAAAAAAACTATGTTTTAGTCTTATTAAGCTATGCTCGTACTAGACACTAGGCATGGACTCGAGTCAGTCCGGTCCCGGTTCTGAGTCAAGACTATTCGGTCCTTGACAATTTCTTGTGAAAATCGGGTCCAATCTGGTTATTTCCGGTTTCGGCCGATTTCGGGTACCCAGTTAGTTCGAATCTCGGTTCCATTATTTTTTCTCATTTTGTTTGGTTCAAAGGTCAAAACTAGAAAAAAAAACATTGCGCATCAGGACCGAAATCGAGCTCGGGACCGTCTTGTTTGGTCCCAAAATCGGGACCAAGTAGTCATCAATTCTATCGTACTAAAAAAATTGAAGGAAAAACTGTCAAATAGGTCTTTGTACTTTTAAGAAAAAATTAATTAAGTTATCGTACAAATAATCAAGTTTAAGAAGTGTTGAAAACGACCAAGTTAGCTATGTAACCAATACCCAACCGGTAGCCCCTTTACCTGCCTGTGTGGAAGGGTAGTTGACTTTTTTAGTGTTCATTTTTTGTTTAATTTTCATTTTCTTTTTCTCTATTTAGTATGTTTGGTAAATAATTGTTAGCTGCTAGATGTTAACTGATTGTGTTAGATATTCATCAATAATTTATTGTATTAGATGATTTGATTGACTGATAATGTCAGCTTGTTGTAAATGAATGTTAGGTAAAACTATTTGTTTGTAAATTGTTAGGGTATGTTTGATTCAAGGTGATATCTCATAGAGGGCGGAATCTGATGCCTGGAATGTGAGATACCTGTGTTTGGTTTGCGGGTTTGATTTTTTTGGGGGGAATGCTACATTCTCAAAAGTGGAAAAGGTGATCACATGAATGGGTATGTGAAACCCACTAGAGCCTTAGGTTATGTTAGATTCCTGGTGGCTAATTAATTTTATTCCAAAAAAACCATGCTTCATTAATCTAATACAAGTTCTTAACTTCTAATATACCACTTCTCATTTTATAATTTTAAAAATTATACCGTATTTTTTCATTATAGTTGTTTGAAATTATTTATACAATTATACTAAAATTGTAAGCTACTATATTTGTTCACTAATCTTTTTCATTTGTGCAATTAAACATATTTAGCTTAAAATTATTTACTAATGCTCACTAATCTTAGTCATTTGTGCAATTAAATATATTTTGCTTAGAATTTATTCAATCAGTTTTTATTTTAATTATTACCAAGATGTTTTATTTTTCTATAGTTTTAATTACTTTAATTATAGGTTGTAATAAGTTTAATGTGTTAAGAGACAAATATTTAAAGGGCATTCAAGTAATTCACCAAACATGCAATATACGATATCATTCAACCAAACAACTTAATGTGACATTCCCTTAATCGTAACCAAACACAAATGAGATATACATAAATCACATTCCCATCTATCTAACATACCCAGTAATCTAACATTCTCATGGTAATCTGACATTCCTTGAACCAAACATACCCTTAGGGTACTAAAAGACATATACGGACATAAGCTTGTTTTATACGGAGTATGTTTTTTTCTGTATAATATTAATTTTATAAGTTGAATAACTTAGAAAATAAAATACATTCAAGTGTTTTACATTTTAAACGATTACCTTGAATTACAATAACAAATTAAATTAAACATATTAGGGAAAACTGTCAAATAAGTTCCCGTACTATATCGAAAAAGTCGATTAGGCCCTCGTACTTTACAAACACTCAATTAAGTCCTCAGACTATTAAAAAACGTTCAATTAAGCCCTTTCGGTCGGTAAGTAACCGGTTTCCCGGTTAAATGTAACCCGTTTCCCGGCAGCCGCCGTTGCTGGGGTTCGAGCACATCGTCGCCGTCGTTGCCGTTTAACCGGGAAACCGGTTACTTACCGACCAAAAGAATTTAATTGAACGTTTTTTTAATAGTTCGAGGACTTAATTGAGTGTTTGTAAAGTACGAGGGCCTAATTGACTTTTTCGACATAGTACGAGGGCTTATTTGATAGTTTTCCAAACTTATTAACATAGGATAATTTGTGAATGCATCTTCGTTTCACTGAAGTGATACTCGAAATTATTTTACCCAATTTTAATTTCTTGATTATTGATGTATATGATCTTTTGTGCGTCGTCATTTTCTTCCACTTGTCAAACACGTGCATCTTGAGGGACGAAGCTAGGATTGTAGTCAACATAGTTAAGTCTCAATCAGATAACTAAGTAATTGTAATTGGATATACACTCAGATTCGTTTTTTTTTATGTAATGCAAAGCATAAACAATACTATCCTCCGTCTCTTTTTAATCGCAACATGTTGAATTTTACACTATTCACATATACTACTTTGACTACATTTTATATTATTATTTTATGAAAATTATTTTTAAAAAATGATATTGTTCAATTCATCTCATTACAAATTTTCAAAATCTAATTTTTAAATATCTTATACTAATAGAGATTAAGATATAATTACGGTCAAAGACGTGCGTTGGCAAGTGTGAAATGTTGACCGTTACAAACAGAGCCGGCTTTGGGGGCAGTTGGCCAACGCAAGTGCCTAGGGCCTCATATGCCAAAGGGGCCTCCGCAAAGACGCAAAGTACTATGTATTTATATTATTAGTATTAGTTAGGCATATAATACTCTGTGTCTCCGTATGAAGTAATTATCCGCCGAACTGGAACCTTCAAATCGGAAATCAGCAAGCCAGCAACTGGCTTCTCGGTTCTCCTCAACCGGTTACAACAGAATAGCAGACCGCCTCGGCAAGTCTAAGATTATAGTACTGCCGATTTCTAATTGACCCTTATTTTCTGCTTTATTACTTTGGATTTCTTATGCTCTGGAAATCTAGCCTAAGAAATGAAAGTAAAAGAAATACCGAGTACTTATGAATGGAATCTGATTTCTGCAATTGGCCGTAAAGTGAGGTTTGGGAATTTGGGGTTAGGTACTTCTCGACACTATTGCCAAGTCTAAGAAATAAGAATAGACCCACTCACTAATCATTGTATGCACTTCTTTAAAATTATTAACTTATTAATTATTAATATAATAATATTGGGTAATAATTGTTTATTTGTTATAATGTTATTATTATTAGTAGTAGTAATTTATGTTTTGCACTAATATTTAATTATGGTAATTGGATTAGTCATTTTACCACTAATATTTTATAATTGTATATTGTAATTGATTAATTATTTAGTTTAATTTTTTGTTGATCGTTTTCTATTAATTGAATATTTTTTAGTCAAATTTATAAATAGATTAAATATGTAAGTATGTTCATGATGAATAAACACAAGTTTGAACTTCAAAAAGTAAGAAGAAAACGGTATTAAAAGTATACTTTTTGGTGCATTTAGTATGTGTTACATTTTAAGCTTTATTTTGTATGTGTTACACTTCAAATATGGCATTATTTCTTGTATTTTGTGTTTGTGTTCATTTTAAATTATTTTTTGTGAAATACGACTTTCTTTCTTATTGTATTCATATAATTTGTGAATGTTAAGCGTTTTCCGTCTGGGGCCTCCAAAGTGCTAAGGCCGCCCCTGGTTACAACTAAAAAAGAACGGAGGAAGTATAATGCAAGGTTTTGCTGAAGACTTGGCTGCAAATCACAGAAACAGTATGCAGAAAATGATGCCAATGAATAGCACAAAATACTTGGACACGATGAAAGAAATATGTCCAATAGGACATATTGTACGCAGGGAAAAATCAGCAACATATTATGCAAAAAACTACTAGTATCTCATTGACAAATTGTAATAGTACTATTACTCTATTAGTGGCATAAAAGCGGGCTCCTTTGATTCTTCAAGCATCCAATAATATTGTTTGGTATTTGGATGCTCTCTTTCGTACTAATGGTACTAATTGTAAATATCATTTGGCATTTAAGAATTTTTTGTATTGAAATTTTGCAATACATTTGTAATGGAGCCAAAGATTCACTATTTTTAAGTTTGGGAATATGATGAATTAAAACAAAATGACTCACAAAACTGTCTCTCTTTTTTTGAAATAGTTTTTTCCATCATTTGTAATGGAGCCAAAGATTCATTATTTTTTAGTTTGGAAATATGATTGAATAAACAAAATGATTAATTAAATTGTTTGTGCTTTATTATTATGAAGCAACAGTTAGTTCATGCAATTTTCAACGTGAGTCATCCGAAAACAGTTTCTATATACTTTAGTACATGGTAAGATTGTATACATCCAAACTCTTTTACGATGAAAGTCTTTACGGCACCGAGATAATGATGATATTTGAACTATTTGTGGCTAGCCCAATTTGAACTGATGTATCAATGTATCAATGTATCGTATTGAAGCACCACTAATTTAAATATCTTGATGACGTAATTTAAAATTCCATTTCATTAAACTGATAGGCAAAAGAATTTGATAATTAAGCTTATTTTATTTACTAAAAAGGACTAGACTAGAAACAAATGAATTTTTACTCCTAAAAAACTTCTAGTCCGTACAACACTCCGGCGTGTTTTGCCGGCCCTTCCTTCCCGAAGTACATATCTCTCATTCTCTGAAAAGTGTGCCATGTCAGCAGGCTATCAGACCCGGCTTGATGACACTTCCCGGCAACCCGGTCCACTTCCAGTATTTCCGCCAACCGGTCCAACCCGCCGTACAGGCTCTGGCAGAACTTCATCAGATGCTTAACGTCATAGACACGGCTCCCGAAAAACACCCTCAAAATACCCAAAAAGTCCTCCAATCCCGCCGGCAAAGCGCGGCGCGTGAGGATCTTCACCAGATACCCGAAGTCGTACGCGCTGTGGAACGTCACCCAGCTGACGGACTCGTTGCAGACCAGGCCGGATGACATCATCAGCTCAGCGAACGTGGCCGAGTCAACCCCGCGATCGCGGATCTCCTCGAAGTCGATGCCCTGCCGGCGGAGCAGCTCTACCGAGTCCGGAGCGTGAAGATCACTCGCGAGGTCAAAGTCGGAGAAGTTGAACTGCCAGATGCACCGGCTCCCGCCGGATCCGAGCAACGGGAGGTTCCCGCTGGCATCGGAAAGAGTCAATCCTAGCTGGATCAGATTGAGAGCGTCAACGTTTGACTTTAGCGACTGGTACTGGTCGGCGCATCGATCGGAAGCCGACGGAGATCCACTCCGGCGACGGTGAGTCTGATTCTCCGGCTTGAACACAACTCCGGGAAACTCCGTATCCATGGAGATGTAAGGATAGCTATCCACGATCTGGCTAATGAGATCGAATTCAGATTCGATGTTATCCGCCCAAACCTCCCGAATCGTGATCAGATCTCCATCCAAAACGTTTTCTCCTTGCACAGCCATGATCCTGCAGATTCCAGAAACAGAGGTGAAGTGTATAATTCAGCAGGGAACATATAAGAAGATGGGAAGAGAGGTAAAGAGCTGATATAGAAATGGTGTGAAATGGGTGCTCTAGTATTTATGAACTGGAATTGGAACCTTAAATGGGTGTTGCTTGGAAGCAGAAGAAATGAAAGTTGGGAAAGGGGAATTTAGAAAAAGATTAAAATACAGGCAAGTTGGAGTGTATCTATCTAATCATAGACCCGCACTGTGTGCTGCGTGTAGAACCGGGTGTCCAAGTTCAACGCGTTTGGGCGTTTGACTAATGAATATGAAAATTGGAGGAGCCCCACGCCCTGATCACATTGGTGGAGAAGTAAGTCATAATGTGAGTTGTAACTCTCACATGGTCACTACGAGTTTCGATCCTTGTCATTGTTCCAAATTTTTCACCAATGGATCAACTGAGCTACCCGTGTGGTAGGATATTCCGAGTTATAATCAAGCATCGAATCCCGCAACGATCGTAAAGAGTTTACAACTGTTGTGTACTAAAGTGCATATCTCGTGTGTGCAAATACTTTTTTCGTTTTTAAATAAATACAACGGTCAACATTTCACATTTGTCAAAACACAACTTTGATTATTTATTTTATATAGTTCACTATTAGCAAAAAAAAATACAAAAATTAGATTTTGAAAATTTTCAATAAGACAAATTTAACAAATTTTTTTTTAAAAAAACTGTGTTAATGTATTTATAAATAAAATATAATCAAAATATAATATGTGAATAATACAAAATTCTAACATGTTGCATTAACGTAATATAAACCTTACGACTATTATTTGATTGAATTAACGTAATTTGTAACCTCTTACATGCTCTTTTAGGCTGGGTTTTGGGACCACTAGTTTTAGGATTCAACTTATTGGAGAATTAATGAATGATTAAGAAAAAAAGGAGAAAAGGAACATGGCGTCTGATTGAGGGTCGTGCATGAAGTGAGTGGGGTCGTGATTGTATGACTTTTCTATTTTTCTATTGCCTTATCCCGTTTGGCATCTCATTCCGCCCCCACTATTTGGTGCACATCTTTTATTGCGGTTGAGGGGTAGGGGGAGTACATAAAGGTAATGGTGGGGTCCGATTTATTGAAAAAAAGAACTACCCGAGTAGAAAAAATTACATTTACACAAAAGTGTAAGCTTCCTCCGTCATTAAAGTAAATTTGATATATAGTGAGTATTGTGTTGGGGATAATTATGCGGAAGAGATTTTAATGGTTTAAAATTGTGTAAAAATGATTGTGAACCACAATTTTTTATCAAAAAAGAAACATAGAAGTTCATTTTGGGACGTTCGAAGAGGAAATTTAGAAGTTTAGTTAGAGACAAAAGATTAGTTTTATGTACACATCTCTCAATTGTCTTGTATGCGGTCAACTTTTTATTTAGGTGAATTTAAAAACTTTTTGCGTACACAAAGAACAACTCATAAATTAAAGCTTCTTGACTTTGAAATGAGAATTTTTATGGAGTCCGCCAATTGAATCACCTAGTTCCTTTTTTATTGGAGCTTTATGATCCATTTGTAAAACTTGGGTTCATCTATGTTTGGTTATGCTCTAATCTTTGTGCATGTATTATCTTTGAGACTTCTACTTTGCATTCTACAATTCGAGGATAAAGATGTAATAATGATGGTAAAACCTTAATACTTTTTACTTTGTCTAGTTGCTTTCTTTCTACCCTTATTTTTGAGATTTTGATTCATGAAAATGACAATTGGCAAATCTAGTTATAAATAAGTCCCTGTTTATGAAATAAAATATGTAATTATGGAAGAAAATTCTTAGTCAATAACTCTATATATATATTCACAAATTCTTTCTCATTGTTCTGTGTGGTGGAGCAATTGCTATGTATATGGGACATTCAAATTCTGAGATGGGAAGTATCAAATCTATTACTACTACTAAAAAGCTGCAAGGGAGATATTCAAATTCAAAATAGCTTGTTACGTCCTGATGCGAACTACGGAACTAGTGTTGTTGGTGCATGCAATATTGCATGTCCTCAACTTAAAAAGAGATATTACACCTCATAAGTAGTGATTTCGCAATACATTCGAGTCACAATCCATGAGACCATTTTGAGTATGAACATGTGTATCATGAGCTCTACTCTTATGTTTGGGATGTCAATCCACCAACATTGTCAAGACGAATCATTTTAATTGCATGATCAAGAAAATGTGCTCTTTATCTAATCAATTAAGCAAGCAAACCTATTATAATTCGTAAACTTTTCATTTATGGTCACATGGGACTCATCTTTACTGATTTAAATGTAGTACAAACCCGATGATCAAAATGAAAGTAATTTTTTTTATCATAAATGAAAGTAGTTTCTGTAACACGTTTTTAATGCATTAAGTTTCATCCATTATTTAAATATTCAGTATCACCTTTCTTAGTTGTCTCAATGTGACACATATTTCAGCGAATATCCTTACTATCTAATAAATATCTTTTTGATATATTTCAGGAAATATAATGCATCATGAATATGAAATTCTAGTGAAGCAAGCAACACTAAATTGGCTTAGTTTGAACCATGTATCTATCAATTTGGTAGTGTCAATACTGATATTAACATTTGCCTTTCGCATTGACAACGCAGAAAAATAGTTTATGTTTTTAATTTTTGTGTGCATATGGTAGCACCGTTGAGGGGAAATAGTCTCTCAATTAGTGACATTTTTTTATAATTACTATTACATGGTACTGAGGTACATGATTATTGGCGAGGGAAATTAATTAAGAAAACTTTTCACTATCCAATGATCGAGCTTATAAACATGTGCCTTTATGGATCAAATAAAAACTACATAAAAATATACATGTATCCCTGATCATAAGGATTGTCGGTTTTGTAATCTTGAATTGACTTATTAGTCTTATAATTAATTAGCTAGAAATTTATCGAATATTGATTTTTATTTTATTTCACATGTTGAATTGGTTAAGAAAATAGGAACAGGTAAAGTTGAAGTACTCTTCCATCTCATTGATTGATTTAATTTGTTCTAGAGGTATGTGTATGATCTCTTTTAATATTTGAATGAATGGGTGGACATCTGATGATTTGATAGAGAAATTGTCCTAAAAAGGAATAAAAATGTTACGAAATTCTGAAATATAACTGCTATATTTTTCATCATGAAATATGAGTTGTTTCAGTAGCTTTTTATTGTCTCATCATTTTGTATGAAGCAAGTCTGATAATTCATTGTTTATATTCCGTCAGAATAATAGTGTCATTTATTTATTATTGGGATAAGGGTCAGATAGGGCCTCGAACTCGAAAAAAAATGTCAAATAAGGTCATATTTCGGATGCTCTGTCTGGCCGACGCCATTCGGGGTGGTTCCCGATGGAATTTTTTGATGACATTTTTTGAGCATCTTCCTCATTAAGTCTAGTTTACCCATACCAAATTTCAGCTAAAAATTCAACCGGGAAGGTAGTCAAATGAGTTTTTGAAGATAACTGTGAAGTTAAACAACGCCGTACATTTCGGAAAATTATTTGACTACCTTCCCGGTTGAATTTTTAGCTGAAATTTGGTATGGGTAAACTAGACTTAATGAGGAAGATGCTCAAAAAATTTCATCAAAAAATTCCATCGGGAACCGCCCCAAATGGCGTCGGCCAGACAGAGCATCCGAAATATGACCTTATTTGACATTTTTTTTTTGAGTTCGAGACCCTATCTGACCCTTATCCCTTTATTATTATATGTTGATGACATCATTATTACTGGCAATTCGTCCTCTCTTATTACTTCCTTTATTAATCTTGTTGCTCAACATTTTGCTATGAAGGATCTTGGTGATCTTCATTATTTTCTTGGAGTCCAGGCTAAACGTTCTGACAAAGGTTTGTTCCTCTCTCAACACAAATATGTGTCTGATCTTATCTCTCGTTTCCATTTGCATACGGTTAAGCCTCTTCGTACCCCTCTTGCTACTCGCACTTCTCTCTCTCTCTCACTGATGCCGAGCTTCTTGCAGACGCCACTGAGTACCGTAGTATGGTTGGTGCATTACAATATTTAACTTTGACACGACCTGATATTACCTATGTTGTACATTTAGTGTCTCAGTTTATGCATGCTCCCCGAACTACTCATTTTTTTGCAGTCAAGAGAATTTTCAGGTATTTGCAGGGGACATTAGATCACGGCTTATGGTTACGCCCTACTACACAAGCGACTTGCGTCATTGGCTACTCTGATGCTGATTGGGCTGGTTGTCCAGATACCTCTCGTTCCACGACTGGATTTGCTGTATTTTTAGGGTTGAACCTAGTCTCCTGGAAATCCAAGAAACAGCTCACAGTTTCCAAGTTTTCTACAGAGGCAGAGTACAGAGCTGTTGCTAACACCGTACAGGATACTTTTCACATTCCTTCAATTTTATTTGAGCTTGGTTTTCCTGTCAAAGCTCCTGTTCAGCTATTTTGTGACAACATTTCTGCTTCTTATTTGACTGCTAATCCTGTTCAGCATGCTCGCAGCAAACATATTCAGATTGACTATCACTTTGTCCGAGAACGTGTTGCACATGGAGATCTGATCGTGAAATACATTCCTACACAGCTACAGCTGGCTGATATTTTTACTAAAAGCCTTTCTAGTCAGCAATTTCATTTTCTAAAAGACAACATGCGCGTTGTATCTCCCGCACAGTTTGAGGGGGTGTAATAGAATATTTTAGGAATATTTGTTTCCTAAAATATATTTATGAATATTTGTTTCCTTTTGTATTTTCTGAACTCTCTCATTATATATATTCCTGCCAGGACTCCTATTGGAGTACCTTTTCGTTAATTCTCACAGTAGTATCATTTTAAAGTCTAGTACTGCAACTACTTTAGCAGTAAGGACTCCAAAATGACGGTAATAATTTGTTTTTGAATTCCAAAACTTATTTACTTCTATTTCAAACACTTTACCTATTTGATAATGTCATGCATGATGCACCAAACATTTTCCTGTTGAAAATTTTCTCCCAAAAGTTTTTTTTTATCGTCAAATTTTTCTCCCAAAAGTTAGAGAGCAACCACAATAAATAAATTAATAACAATTAGCTGTTTCTAAAGTAATACTCCCTTTTATAAAAAAAAAAAGTAATACTCCTTCCGTCCCGTTAGAAGGT